GTGACTTAAAACTCACGCTGGGCACATGTGCGTGCGTGCCCAAGATCCTGAGAGGAGAATGGAGGAGAAGGGATTGTGGTGTGATCATCCCCTCTGGGGGGTGATTTCTTGCTTTCTGTCTCTCTGTCACTGTCTGTCTGGCGAGCGCACGTGCCCTATAGAAAAAACCTCTCAAAAAAAAAAAAAAAGAGGGAAGGGAAACCTGGGTCAAACCCGAGTTGATTCTCTCCGAGTGGCCACATTTTAGGGACTTTAATTAAGAGCATGAAAGTTACAGGTGACTGACACGGATAATTCAAAGCTTACAAAAACGAGTAAAATGCTGTAGTGATCGTGCTCAGTCCTGCTGAGGAAGTTCCCTCCATCGGATATTGAAAGACAAACATCAAGCCCAGAAAGCTGCTCTGGAGCACACCAGACAGTGCCATCACTACTCTTAAAGGAGACAGGTCTGTCACTTACTCTCCGAGTGAGCGTCTCTGTGTGGTCTCGTCCTCGTCAGTGTCACTGCTAATACTGATCACACTCACTGCAGGACTCGGGGAGTCGGCGATGACAATGGCTTGCCGCTGTCGGTCTGAAACCGATGACCCAGAGTGCTGGCGGGCTGAGGCTCTGCAGCAAGTCTCCGCCTCTCCTCCGGAGTCATGGCTGTCCCGTGTTTCTAGGCAGCTCACTTCATCAGCATCTTTCCCATTTATTGTCTTGGGAGAAACAAATGCTGAATGTGGGATATTGGTATTCTGCAATGAACTACTCCTGTAAGCAAAAGAGCAATTTGTAATTTCTATAATTAAAACATATACATGACATTTTTCTAAGAAATCTTGTTAAATTAAGCAATGCAAACTTTCACTTGTCTAAGTTAACATATATAACACAGTATGGATCATGAGTTTTTGTGAAACAAAGTATTATTTCTACAAATATCTGTGTAGATTGCATTTGCATACATTTAAATGATTATTTTTTGGTAAATGTGTTATCTGAATGTCTACAATCGCTACATTAGAGGTAGGTAATAAATCAAAAGGGCAATAAAGACAATCTTACCAACTGAAAGCATTTATTTCCTCTCTTCCTGGCTCCCATTCCATTAGTTTTACCAAAATACCTCTGAGAAATTGAGAAGGGAGCTGGCTTAGTGTTTGCAACAAAGCTATTAAAGAGGTCATTTGAATACAACAGAGTGACCCTTTAGTGTACATGCAAAATTCATGTTAAAAAATAATTTCCAAAATGCACAGGAAAATTAAAGTACCGATACCAACCTGTTCGGGCATACTTTGTTTTTCTTGGTGGTGGCAGGCTGAGGCCAGACAACATGTGCAATGCCCACGCTGACTGGCTGAGGGGCTGATAAAGTTATCTGATTGGTTAGAAGAGGCTGCGGTATTACTGAGTTGTAATGATTGCTGTGTGAAATCATTTTCCTAGGGAGAGAGTTCAAAAAATTAAATCCCTTCTTTGTCAAGATCTACTCTGCAAACTGTTCACAAACGAGTACTGCTGTTTGTAACTCACCCCCAGTCTCCAAGCCTCTGTGAGCCCACCACACCCTCAGAAGTGAGTGTGGTTGCAGCAGGAGCCACGGCCGTCACCTGTTGCCAGGCAGGTACCAGCATCTGCTGTGTCCTACCAGACCATGTCTGCCAAAACAAAACAGAGCTACTAAGGCACAAGTGAGTCGTCTCTACGACACCTTAAACTCAAAAGCATGGGGTTGTTGGAAAGGCAAGACGCATTTTTGCACAGAAAAACATGGCAAAATACCATGACTTTTCTGACAACCCAATATAGTAAATAATAACAATCATAAACGTAAAAGTCAATAAGCTACAAAAAGGATGAAATCCCCACCCAAGTCAATTTCGTTATTTCCCAGCAGCACAGGCTAACATATTACAAAGGGATTTGCCCCCTGCTATATAAAAGGACGGCACGTATGCAACATGCTGAGTTGTTACCAACCTGAGAGAGAACGCCGGGTCGGAGCTGCAGTGGCTGCACAGCGGCAGCCTGAGTGACAAGGGGACCTGTATTATCCAGCCTTACTGAGTAACTGGTAGGCTTACTGTGCACTGCAGGGATACCTGTAAAATAGGATAGTCATCAAATAAAAGAAAAAAGTCTTCTATTGATCTGACTCATAAAATTACTTCAAATGTAACGAATTGCTTAAATTCTGATTGGGATTCTATTCTATTCATCCCTACATAACACTTCCCTGCCTGGCCCAGTCATTGCACAGGCAGTACTGTACTGATCCGGAGGGCTGAACGCCACTGGCTGGTCAGAGACAACTGGAAACGTGGGTGCACTTGTGCCGAAGACCCCAACGGCTGGAGGGCTGGGGAGGGAGGGCACGGTTGCCGAAGAGGCCTTGATGAGGACGCCTGTTTCTCTCTCTCTCAAAACAAAAATAGAAAGTCGGAGGCAGCACGGCAGCAGGCTCCACACTCTGCAAGGTGGGCCCCACGGGAAGGTGCGGCTTGTGCCCCAGAACTGCCCCGAGTGTGCTGAGCACAAGGCCATGCCTGCTCGTGACCGGGTGGCTGCTGCTAGGTGGGGCATGTGGCGTCTGAACCCTGTCAGGGCTGTACTTCAGTCTCTGTCTCTCTCTCTTGTATTCAACAGAGTGATCCTTTAGTGTACATGCAAAATTCATGTTCAAGATTAATTTTCAATTAATTGTCCTGCTCACTCATAGAATAAATAAACTTTATAAAATTAAGAAAAATGAATAAACTTAAAAGGTATTTTTCAAAGCACTACCGAAGTGGTCTATTAGGAAAGTGAGGTATTTCCTAACTACCCTGTAGTACATTGCTGTAAAAATTGTCATAAACTACACTCTTTTAAAACGTATACTACCTAACTAAGCCATTTACTCCTCTTGAAACTTCACATTTCCCTTTAAAGTCTGCAGTTATGGCTTTGTTTTCTTTTTAAATAGTTCTGCTCCTGTGTGACAGACGGCAAGGTGAACCTGGCTCAACCTTCTAATGACTGGAGATGCTGGCACTCTTTTTCACACCTGCATTTAGTTATGCTTAGTATTTTCTGCTTTAAAATTATGATAGAATTTTACACTCTTGTCACCAAAATGGACATGAAAGTTTACATATAGACAAAAACTCAAAGATTTTCACATTTCTCAATGGTACTCCTATTTCAACATCTAAAGGAAAAAGCACATCAAACCCTAAAGAACCTGCCCTGCTCTCTGGTGACCCGACTACACGCTGCCTGCTGTGGCTTACTCTGCTTAGTGTCTCCAGGGCTGCGCTGCCAGTATCGGACATGCTGCCAGCGAGCCGACCCACTGTGGAGCAGCGCTGCAGCGCTCGGACACACTGCCAGCGAGCTGACCCACTCGGGTCAGGGCTGCAGTGCCCACACTGCTCATGTGCGCGTTTCTGTTTTTGACATTGCGAAACATCTCTCAGGTAGTAAGCCATGTGGTAGTAAATTCCGACTCTGCAAAGTATTACAGTATCACCCACGCATCCACTCTAACAAGTGTTTAGGGACCCCTTCAAGATCAGAGAGCACACTGACTGGAGTAAACCCTCCAGCTCAGGATTCTACTCTATTAGAGCTGTTACTTTCGATATGGACTGACAGATTATTTACATATAATAGTTTTGTGGGTTTATTTAAAAGAGAGTTTTGCTATAAGGTGCAATGCACTTGCCAGATACGGAGAGAGACAAAAAGTGAGAAATCACACCCCAGCGGGGTATGGCCACACTGCAATCTCTTATCCTCCATTCTCCTCTTGGGATTTTGGGCACGCATGCACACATGCTCGGTGTGACTTAAGCCACCAGGTCCAGGACTTGAGCCGGAGTCGACTACGTGGGAGTCCAGCAATATAACCATTATACCATCTGCTGGTCCCAAAATATAATAGAATTAATTTCTTAATAAAAGTAATGCTGAATGTTTCTATTCAGTTGTAAAAGAAAAATATAATTGTTTTCTATTACTACTAAAAAAGAACCTTAAAAATTATTTAAAAATTTTTGCCAGATGGCATGTGTGCTCAGAGAGGAACAGAGAGAGGAAGAGGAAGGGAGAGGGAGAGTAAGGAAGCACACCCCCATGGAGGACAGTCACACGACGACCTCTTCTCCATTTCTCCCTCCTTTCAGGATCTGGGCACACATGCACACACTCTCAGCATGTTTTTTGAGCTGCAGCGTCTGGGACTTGAACCACACAGTTGGCTATGTGGGATGCAGCTGCCATAGCCATCATGGTACCTGCTGGCCCTACCTTACCATGGTTATGTCACAGCCGTTAACGTGCTGTTCACCCCCAGGCGTGTTTCTTACTGTCAGCACACCCTACACTCTGTGCTCCCCTAAATAGCTAAGTACAGGTTAAACTTAACAAAAATCTACAGATTTTTTTTTTAAAAACTGATCTTCTTACCCCTTCCAAAAAGCATGTCTTGATCAGCAAATTCTCCAAGAAATGGAATATAAGCACACCCAGGTAGTGTAGGTTTATTGCAGCAATAGACAATCTCTTCAAGACAAAAAGCAGAATTCACTTTGACAAGAATGAAAAGAGAGAGCGAATTCTCAAATCTGAATAAAAATCACATTGCTCTTAAATTTTCTCCATATGTAATGCCAAAATATGGAAAGACATCTTCTATATCTTCTATCTTCATGGTATCTAATTTTTCATCCAATTTGGCAGTGGGTTAAAAATCCCAATTTTTTATACAGTTACAAGGTTAGCTAATACTTTATCTTTGGCTAGATTTGCTTGAATGCTCAGAGATCTGGGCACCAAAAACTTATTAAGATTATTTTAGTTCAATAGAGGAGAATTTTGCTGAAATGTATATAACTCTAAAATAGCAATTTACATCCATGTGGGATAAATAAGTAACATTTAAAGTTGCTAGGTAATTTTAATTGCTTGCTTAATATATACAACTTACATTCAGATTTGTTAAAATAAATGCTTGGCTAAGTCTTCTGTACTAAAAAACTTTTTTTTAAATAAGTACAGTCTTACATTTCTATACATCCATACCTAAAAATTCTAATATCTAAAACATATAAACTACAAGGACCAAACACTAAAGTTTTAAGTGAAGGGGAAAGATGTAAATTTAATGTAAAATACAAACGATAATGGCTGATTACTGCCCAAGAGCTGCCCAAGGCTGAGGCTTCCTCCACGTAGACAAGGACTGACTAGAGGGGATGCTTTCACTCCTCAGACCAGCGCTAACTGGGCTGAGAATGATGAAACAACGTCTGCAGAGCCTGCTCGGCCTCCCCCTCACCGCACCTGCTACATGAACCAGCCAGTATCTGTGTCTCACTGCTGAGTCTAATTCAAAGGCAGAGCTGACACTGAACAGCTTAGTGACGCCAACAGGCAGAGCTGACACTGAACAGCTTAGTGACGCCATTTAATTCCTTTCTTTCAATTATCCTTACTACAAACCACTCCTACAGATGCTACCATTTTTACAAAAGGGTTACTGTTTATCAATTACAAGCCACAGAGAAAGATAGAGATGTGTAGAACCTCACTGAAACATCTTAAGAACCATGCTCAGCCCTGTGAAGAACTGTGTCTCCTGAGTTTCTGAAATCTGTGCTATAAACAGAAGGGAGGCTCAGGGGAAAAGGCTACTCTCAATCTTCATGGAACTTAACCCTATGTGACCTCTGTTACATTAAACTGTTTTGGCCTAAAATGGCCACTGTACTCCCACCCTTTGATTCCGATGACTACAAGTTAGGCTGGGTTTTTTTGAGCTGGTTGCTAAGTTATAGCCAATCACAGCAGCTAGGCTTCAGTCAATCACAGGCACCCGCCTTTTAAACTGTGTTCATGCAAACCTCGGGATATAACCAGTGGTTTCTCCACCCCACTCCCTCACTAACGTGTTTTGTATGACACTTTCCTACCGCTGACTTAAATGTCGAGTTGACCACCAGGGTAGCCAGAGTTGTCCAGAAGTCCAGGGACAACAGACTGATTTAAGTCATGTTAAGATTTGCTCTATTAAAATTCTACTCTATTAAATTGACTGGTTTATTTTTCTTTCAAGAACTCAAACTGATTTAGGTACATGAGGGAGAATAAGAACCAAAAAATCTATTTGTTCCTGAAGAGTATAAACTTACCTAAGTGAAAAACACATTTGTCAAAACCCCACTTAAGTGATAACTGATTTAAAAGTAAACAGTAGTTGGGACCAGCAGTTAGCGTAATGGCTATGTCACTGAACTCTCATGTAGTCGACTGCGGTTTGAGTCCCAAACCCAGTGGCTTAAACTCACACCGGGCACATGTGCATGTGTGCCCAAGATCCCGAGAGGAGAATGGAGAAGGGATTGCGGCATGGCCATCCCCCCTGGGGGGTGATTTCTTGCTTTCTATCTCTCTGTCTCTCTCTTTCTGGCGAGCACACACACCCTATAGCAAAAACCCCTTAAAAAAAAAAAGTAAACATGCAGGTCTTGTACATGCAGGTGTTTTGAAGGAAAATGTCAAAATCTATCGAGTCGTCAGGAAAGTCATGACATATTTTCTGTGTGTTTCCATGAAAAAAGCATCAAGACTTTTCCAATAATCCAATATGTAGATGTGTGAATTGATGTGCAGGTAGGTAGGTAACACAACACGGCAACACTAGCTGAAGCTAGGGTGGAAGAAACAGCTGGGGAAAGTGAAGAGACAAGCGAACGGCATCCTCTGGGAGCGCTAATCCTTGGACGAGGCAGGCATGTGAGTCCCAGGGACCAGCCATGGGCAACGCCCACAGGCACTCCGACCACCACCACAGGCCCACAGCTTCACCCTGAGTCAACTACCTGTCAGGTTTTAGACTTCGTTACAAACCTTTCTCGAAATGAACCTTACACAAAAACCCAACGTATGAAAGATGAAAGTAAAGCTACAAGGCAGAACAGCAGCGGCTAAAGATCTGACCTGCTTTCACATGTCTTACAACCAAAAAATGAACAATATATTCTGGTGCTTGGTCAGGCATTGTGAAAATATTAAAATAAATTGTTTCAGAATTAGTGCAAATCCTTAAATCAAATAAAAAATGTAAATAATCTTTAGACTCCAGAAACACCACAGTTAAAAATGGCCACTATGCACTGATGTGGGCTAGAAGGCTGGGACAGGCCAACGGACTTGTCTAACCCACCCAGCGAGTAGGAGACCAGGAGGTGACCGTGAGTCCTGAGTCCTCCCTACAGGACCTCCCTACTGAGCTTCCTTCACCTGCAGTCAGCCTCATGCTTTAATACGTAGTGGATGTAAAATCCACAGGGACCAAGATCCTAGCAAAGATTTCATTCTGGTTATCCCAGTCACAAGGTCTGCTGCCAGGGCCCTCTAAAACAACCCAAAGAAATTTCTCAGTTTGAGAATGTATAGCCTTACAAAGATATTCTGACCTCTACACCACCAGTTAATTTGCTATTTTTACCTAAAGAAGAGACAAGCTAAAAACCAACCTTTATTTCTTTTTTTCTTTTTTTGAAAGATTTTTGCTATAGGGTGTGTGCACTCACCAGAAAGACAGAGACAGACAGACAGACAGAAAGCAAGAAATCACCCCCCAGGGGGATGGTCATGCCGCAATCCCTTCTCCTCCATTCTCTTCTCGGGATCCTGGGCACACAGGCACATGCGCCCACTAAGTTTAAGCCACCGGGTCCAGGACTCGAACTGCACAGTCAGCTACATGGGAGTCCAGCGGCATAGCCATTACACTAACTGCTGGTCCCCTGTATTTCATTTTTTACCTAGCTATGGGTCAGGAATAAGACTGCAACATTTTGGGATACAACTGCTTTGACCAAAACTTTAAAGAACTGAGCTCGCAGTCACTTTAATTTTTGGTAATGACAGGCAGATCTGGTGAGGAACCGAACACCTGCAGCAGTGACCGGAGCGTGGGCCACTACAGCTTTCCAAGCCCGTCTCTATTAAGGCACCCTGCCACGGGGACGCTGCAGGGGACACTGCTGCCACCTGACCACTTTGCTTCCAACCACAACGGTGCTGCCGTCAGACGGCGAGCGTCACTAGTCTACGAGCTACGGAACAGCTCAAATTACACCTAACCGTGGCACTAAACACAACAAAAACTAGGCAACACATTGAATGAACAGAAGTCTCTGTTTGTTTAAAAACAGGGTGTGTGCACTCACCAGAAAGACAGAGACAGACAGACAGACAGAAAGCAAGAAATCACCCCCCAGGGGGATGGTCATGCCGCAATCCCTTCTCCTCCATTCTCTTCTCGGGATCCTGGGCACACAGGCACATGCGCCCACTAAGTTTAAGCCACCGGGTCCAGGACTCGAACTGCACAGTCAGCTACATGGGAGTCCAGCGGCATAGCCATTACACTAACTGCTGGTCCCCTGTATTTCATTTTTTACCTAGCTATGGGTCAGGAATAAGACTGCAACATTTTGGGATACAACTGCTTTGACCAAAACTTTAAAGAACTGAGCTCGCAGTCACTTTAATTTTTGGTAATGACAGGCAGATCTGGTGAGGAACCGAACACCTGCAGCAGTGACCGGAGCGTGGGCCACTACAGCTTTCCAAGCCCGTCTCTATTAAGGCACCCTGCCACGGGGACGCTGCAGGGGACACTGCTGCCACCTGACCACTTTGCTTCCAACCACAACGGTGCTGCCGTCAGACGGCGAGCGTCACTAGTCTACGAGCTACGGAACAGCTCAAATTACACCTAACCGTGGCACTAAACACAACAAAAACTAGGCAACACATTGAATGAACAGAAGTCTCTGTTTGTTTAAAAACAGTGCACATCTACATTAGAAACAGAACTTAAATGCAAACATACCGTGAATAGCTGGGGGACAGATGATCAGCGTCTGCTGGAAAGCGTCACCACAGCCAAACTGTGCAGCTCCTGCCTGCAGAGGGATCCCGTGGTGCACGACCGCCCGGGCGGACGTGGCCAATGCCTGGAACGAGCGTGCACATGTTATGTGACGCAGTCATGCACAGACACGCACACCCCGAACACAGACAGCAAATCCATTTCTCAACACTGGAAAATGGACCCAGCAAATGAACAAAAACAAGCTGGCCACAGTAAAATTTGAAAGCCGACTCTACTGGTCCCTACTTTTAGTAGAGTTGTGGCATAAAAGAGCAGGTGAAAGATACTGAGAGAACGAAAGAGGAAAGGAAAAATATGAGTTTGAGGAACAGCCAGTGTGACCTCATAGCACTGTCCTACAAACAGGATAAGTTACCAACTGCTATACATTCTTACCTGACTTCGCAATGTCCCAATTTTGGTAAAATTTGCCGTCAGAGTAGCAGTACCGCTTGAAGCAACTGGTCTTAACAGCGAAGTTTTATTGTGATTATTTGTGTCACATGAATTTGGGTGGGGCTTACAAATATCCATAATATGAAAACAGGACTTTACACTGAAAAAGTAAAGATATATCATAAATTTTTCAAATGCCTGAAGTAGTTTAAAATTAATGCACATGAACAAAAAATATTGTTTCCAAAAGAAAAACATTGGCAGTTAACATGCACTCAATACTGTTTTTAATATCAAATCCAAAATGAAAAGCCAGAACTTCATTGGAAGGAAGGGTGCAGGGCTCAGAGCTCTGTGAAGATGATGCATGGACAGACTCTTGGGGGTCCCCCAAGGACACGGGCATACATGTGCCCGTGGGCCAGGCTGGTGAGGCTGGGGGTGGATCACAGCTTAGCCCTGACGGGGGCCCAGTGCTATAACGCGGTAGCAACGCAAGGTTTGCGGTGGGTTTGGATCCCGCCTCCACTTGAAAACACAGCTGGAGGACCTAGCAAGTGATGTGGTTGTTGGGAGCACCAGACGGCCTGCCATGTGGCCAACTGTGGTTCGAGTCCTGGACCTGGTGGCTCATTTTTTCACTATCCTCTCTCTCTCCGTGGTCAAATCAAAAAATAATAATAATAAAGTTAAATAAAATAATCCTTTTTTTTTTTTTTTTTAAAGAAAACATGCTTGGAATGAGCGTGGGTGCTCTGTACTCTGTCTGAGGGCTGGGAGAGGGGGCCACAGAGTGATGAGACCCTCTAGAGGGTGCTTTTCCTTTGTTTCACACGATCTATCACAGTTCAAGTCTCAGATTAGCAGCTTTCTCTCTGTCTCTCTCTCCCTCTGGTGAGTGCACATGCCCTATAGCCAATTTTAAAAAGAATAATAATAGACAAAATTAAGTAAAATAACTCAAAACATTATGGGAAGCTGTTTTAAGTCACTTATTCTCTTCATTTCATTAAAAAAAAGAGGTCTGGGCTCAAAGAATTTGCAAAATTTGCCTAAGATAACTCTGGTAAAGTCTTTTCCAATTTCAGCATAGACAAGGGGACTTGAAAAAGTTCCTAGAAGGGCCAGGTGGTGTGCTGGTTAAGGTGCTGGATTCCCACACGGCTGACCAGTGTTTGAGTCCTGGATCTGGAAACTTGCTTTCTCACTTTCTCTCTCTCTCTGCATGTCTCTCTGTATGTCTCTCTGGTGTGTGTACATGTTCTATAGCAAACTAAATAGTAATAATAATACATAAAATCAGAATACAATAAAAAGCTTCTTTAAAGAATTCTTTCATTTAACTTTATTTATTTGTTTTTCATCTGACCAGAGAGGGACAGAATGAGAGAGAGAGAAGGAAACTGAGAAAGCAAGCCACCAGATCCAGGTCTTAAACCGTGGTCAGTCATGTGGGAGAGTACAGCACCCTTAACAACCATGCCACCTGCCTACCCATACAATAAGTACTTTTTAAAAAAGACAAAGTTCTGGGGCCAGCAGGTGGTGTGGCAGTTAAGGCGCTGGACACTCCCCTCCCATATGGCCGACCATGGTTCGAGTCCTGGACCTGGGAGCTTGCTTTCTCGCTTTCCCTCTCTCTTTCTCTGTGTCTATCTCTGGTCAAATTAAAATAAATTAATGAATAAATAAATTTAAATGATTCTTTTTAAAAAAATGTTCCTAGAAAAATAAAATTAAAGTTCAAGTTTATTTTGATGCAAAAAGTTTTCTGAAATCCGTGCACATTCTCTTTACAATACACATGTCCCATGAACTTTATGAAGACCCCCACCTGTTCTTCTCTTCTAACCTGTGAAAAATCTCCTTTCCAGGCAAGCCAGTGGCAAGGA